CCTTCCTCTCTCTCTCTCTCTCTCTCTCTCTCTCTCTCTCTCTCTCTCTCTCTCTCTCTCTCTCTCTCTCTCTCTCTCTCTCTCTCTCCCCCTCTTCGCCTGACCTCATCCCTCCCTCCTCCCTCCCTTTGCCCTCCCTTCCCAAGACTTCTCGCTGCCGCCTTTGCCCGTCATAGCAGCCTGCTTCCGAACCTTCTCTTCAACCTTCCTCCGCCTAACCACCTCCCTCTCCTTTCTTCTCTCGCCCAATCTCAGGGCTACGTCTCTCTCTCCCAATCTCCTCCCTCCCCAAACCTTCTCTCTCCCCTTGCTTCCTCTGCGCCCTCCACCCAACCTACTCCCTCCATTCCTCCCTCCGGGCAACCGACCTCCGTTCGGTCGTAACGCCCAACATAAGAAATGCATTTCCATTTTTTTTCTTTTGCCGGTGGATGTAAGCCGAGAGGGAGGGAGAGAGAGAGAGAGAGAGAGACATGCATTTCACCTAACACTCTTTCTTTTCAAGATCTCAATAGAGGTGCACATTCGCACGAAAGACAGGTGCAGGGAGACCGAGAGGGAGAGAGAGAGAGAGAGACAGACATGCATTGCACCTAATACTCTTCCTCCTCCACACCCTCCTCAACCTCTTCCTTTCACTTCACGCTCTCCCTTTCCGCACCTTCGTCTCTGTCTGTCTCCACCACCCAAGGTTCATCTGCCACTTCCTCAAGCTCTCTGACTCCTCAACATTCTCCTCTTAGTCTTTAGGAGCGGCCTTTAGATTGGTCACCAAACTGATCAGCGCCACGTATGATTAATCATCAAACTGACCCGCGCCAGATATTTGAACCCATCAATATTTAGGCTCTTCCTCCCCCACTCCATACGCCCGCCATAACGCATGTTTTCTCTCTCTCTCTCTCTCGCGCGCGCGCGCGCGCGTCTCCGCGCGCTCGCCCTTGCTCAGATCGACAAATAGAAGCCCTTTTTCAGATCTACAAACAAAACGTGGTGTTTCGGTAAATTAGGAAAAGAAGAACAAAGAACGAAATCCACTCTCTAGGTCGGGCAGAAAGAAGGGAGGAAGAAGGGAGGAAGAAGGGAGAAAGAAGGGAGGAAGAAGGCATGGGGGGAGGGAGAGCGGGAGGGATAGGGGACAACCGAGGGAATTAAGGAGGGAGGACGCGAAGAGGGAGGAGGGAAGGAGGAAGAACAGAGGGCGAAGCTCGAGGGGAGAAGTAGCTGGGGTAAAGGGAGACGCGCCAAGGACGGAATGGAGAGAGGGAGGAGGATAGGTCGAGGGAGGAGGGAGATGATGATCTTCTCTCTCTCTCTCTCTCTCTCTCTCTCTCTCTCTCTCTCTCTCTCTCTCTCTCGCTCGCTCGCTCGCTCGCTCGCTCGCTTGCTCTCGCTCTCGCTCTCTCTTGCACGCGCGCGTGTTCACCTTTTTTCAGATGGACAAACAAAATGTGCTGTTAACGTATATTGGGAAAAGAACAGAAATCGAAATCCGGTCCCTAGGTCAGGCAGAAAAAGGGAGGAAAGGAGGGAGGAAAGGAAGGAGGGAGGAAGGAGGGGATGGAGGAAGGACAGAGGGCCTAGGGATGAGGACGGAAGTAGAAGGGTCGAGAGAGAAGCACCGAGGCAGGAATGGAGGGAGGAGATGTAGCCTCTGGTCTCTCTCTCTCTCTCTCTCTCTCTCTCTCTCTCTCTCTCTCTCTCTCTCTCTCTCTCTCTCTCTCTCTCTCTCTCTCT